GTTGCACGTGGGGAAAAAAACGGCGACCTGATTTAAATGTCACACCTGAATGCTCACATCCTTTTAATTATGTTTGAAATTACGAACATTGCTCAACATCATGAAAATTAAACCTTATTTTCAATAAGCAATCCTGAAAAATATTTGGGGGTGCTTAACTTTTTTCCAGGTGTATATAATTCATGATTAGAAGAGGTTAGGATGCATAAAAAAGGAGAGTCAGTAGGTTCTGTAGGATACTTCCAAACATTACTTATATAATTCATGATTAGAAGAGGTTAGGATGCATAAAAAAGGAGAGTCAGTAGGTTCTGTAGGATATTTCCAAACATTAGTTATATAATTCATGATTAGAAGAGGTTAGGATGCATAAAAAAGGAGAGTCAGTAGGGTTTGGAAGTATCCCACAAAACCTACTGCCTCTCCTTCCTTATGTACCCTAACCTCTTCTAATCATGAATTATATAGCTAATGTTTGGAAGTATCCTACAGAAATTAGTTATATAATTCATGATTAGAAGAGGCTAGAGTGCACAATTTGATACTAGAAATTAGAGGTAGTAGGTTTTGTGGGATAATTCACTAACTGAAAGAGGCAAGGGAACCACAGTACTACAAAATGTAATAAGACAAAGTAAAAACAAAGACCATTATATTTTTTATATTAGATTACTGGTAGTCTAATCAATAATTTTTTAATAAAAAGTTAGTGGTCACTCATACTAAGAGCAGTAAAACTCACAATGGTTCGGTTTTCTCCAAGATAAACTCTGTAATTGCGGCACGCATGGCAATGCGTAACAGTGGGTCCATAACATCCTCGACACTCATCAGCACATTTTCCACAACGATGGTTGATGTCATCTGGATAGTGGTCTCGAGGACACTGTGATTCACACTGCTCACCTGAACTATAGTGTAAACATTCACATACCGACACATGGACTCCATAGCCTGTACAGTTTTTACATTGCTGGTGGCATTTTCGGCAAACCTAGGGAAAAAAAAGAAGGAAACAACGCTTTGTGTTATAGAATTAATTTAAATCAGGAAAGTAAATGACAGTATTAAATTTCTTATTGTTAGTAATGGATGTTTTACTGATACATTAGATCTTTAACCAATAATACTATATTTTTTAGTAATATAAGCACACTGAATGATTTGCTGTGAGAACTGGAAGTTTTATTGACAGTACTAGGCTTTAGTTGATATTACTGGGTGTTTTACTTGGTAACATTGGATGTTTTCTTGTGAGTACCACAATTTTTACTGACAGTACTGGTGTTTACTCGATAGTATTAGGTGTTTTACTGTGTAATATGGGATGTTTCGTTAAGACTGATATGTTGTAGTTCTGTCAGCAAAACTTTTCATGACATTAAGAATTGTCCCTTATTCTGTCCCCAACTTGATGGAAGACAGCTAGTTAAAACCACCAACTGCCAACTCATGTGATAGTCTTGTCAAACTGAATAGAGGGATTTGACCACCACCATAAGCACCCAGGATATCAAAGTGCAAACTATTTCTTTTGGTGTTAATAAGACAAGAGCTCAGCAGGAGAAACTGAAAATGGAAAACTGTAGTCATCTACTGAGAAAGAAACCATGTCCATTTCATATTAAAATCATAATTTAAATAATAATAAAAGAAGAAGATAAACTGTGTCAAAACAATTAGAATACAAATAAACTTTATAGAAAGTTAAACTACCAAAATTTTAATTATAGATTATTTGAAAATAAAATGTAATAACTGACCGATTTTCCAGTCAAACTTTTGAGAGGGCCTTCCTCTTGTGGTCCTATATACTCAACATAAAACCCTTCTGGACAAGGTGCATCTGCTTTTAAGCATAGCTCCTAAAAATAAAAAACGTTAAGTAATAATAAATAACAAATTAAATGAACAAAATATTCTTATAATAACCAGCAAGAATAGCCAAGTTACATGAAATTAAAAATAACCATGCCACGAGGTGTGCATGTGTGCATATATAACACAAGTAATCTGACTTTAACTAACCTCTGACATTTAACATATAAATTGGTCAGCAAAATGTAATAAATAAAGTAAATTCTAAGCAGTAGTCAAAAACGTAAACACAATAATACTCAAAAAAGCTCACAATAATATGATTTAGAAAAGGAAGTAATAATAATGATGATAAATATGACAATTAAAATTAATTAGAAAAACATAACTAATAATGTACAAAAATATGATACTCTGTAACCTTAGTGCTTTCAAAATGTAGACCTTCCTTCTTCAGTTTGCCTCCAAAGAAGAAAGATCCACCTTACGCAAGTGTTCTCATTAATAGGAAATTGTATTTTTGTGTTACATTGATTTCTTGAGCTTACGTGTTTTCCTAATATCATGAATTAACTAATAATATAATGAAGTTATACTATGTAGGAAACAGATTTACATCTTGCATTAACTATAGTGAGAATTAACTCTCTCAACATGGGCCCAGTCAATTTGACCAACCATGTGACCTTTATACTCATTTAAATTTCTATAGATTTAATACTACTAACTTTAATATAGTATGTATATCTTCACAAAATTTGGCAGTCTTTCAGTTAACATTACAAGCCTTTCACATACAAAAAACAATAGTTTTTAGTGAAGAATTCTTAATAAACTAAAATACAGGCTTGTCCATGAATATATTGAGTATTTGTTTTGAATAGTCTGTGTGCAAAGTGATTTTCATATTATGATAAAAAATACTTTTCTTCATCTCAAAAATCTCGGATATAATGTGTATTCTCTAAAAACCTCCTAAATACATTTCAAACATTTGTTTTTATATTTTACCTGTTCCTTTCTATACCCTAACTCTATAGCAACCTTGTAACTACACACACACACACACACACACACACAAAAAGTAAATTACCTTTTTTTCATTCTAGAATGACTTCAAATTGCAACATGAAACTACATTTGTTTATCCTAAGTAGATCTGAGCTCCTAACAGTATACATCTATTTATACTTAAATTTCATTGTTTTATTGTCCTTTGAACTGTGACTAACTGCTATTCACATCGCTGTAAGTTGTAAATCACTCAGGGAACATGGAGTTCATGCTGAGCTTTCTAACTGTGACAAGAGTTGTTATTAGAAATTCATCCAAGATAGTCGTTATCTTCACCTTGGGAATGAAGCTTGTAATAACAGTGAAATTGACAATTCTCCATTCAGAAAACAATGTTATACAATATGCCATTTGATAGAAGAAAACCTTGGCTTTCTGTTGGTTATAGATAATATAGAATTAAACATACCAGAGAACTATAAATAAAATCTTAAATAGAGGATGTGACAGGTTGACGTGGCAAGAGGGGTCTAATTTTCTATTTGTTAGCTCTGTAACCAAACAAAATTGAAGGCTATAAAAATTATGGTTTGTCTGAACAATGAAGATTTTATAGGGAGTAATTAACATTTAATTTTGTACATATTGGAGGGATGGTTGATAAAATAGAGAGGACATGCCTAGAGAAAATGTTACACTAGGGAAAGATTCAGGATTCTTTTGAATATTGCCTTATAAAATTAATAACTTAAGACTTGTATATTATCAAAATATGGGTGATTAGCCAAAATTTTATGCTAATACTAATTGGTATAACATAGAAAGTAGATTAATATAATTTTGAATGTAAATCACTAAAACACTTTTTGTCATGTGCAGTAAAGGATACCTGTGGCGATAGGGTTAACTGAATGGAAAGTAAAACTAATATTCTTATGAAAAATATTTCAAAACTTACCACATCATTTGGATCATAAGCACTAACTATGGCTTTTTCACAAGAAATACAACCATTCAATCCAATGGTATTCCTTGGCCCCGTGCATCTGAAAATTAATTGAATATTTTGAAACCTTTTACAAGTTACGTATTGAATACACACCTTACCAACAGACTTGCATATTTTTTAAAGTAATGTAATTTATAAAAGCTATACAAAATTTAACTGTAAAAAGCCTACAACACTCATCTACTCTATTACTTGAAATGTTAATGCTGTTATTAGATTTTTTTATTGCAAGTTACTGCACAGTGTTTTATATTGTTTGCTAAATCTTTCATCAGCAATATTTGAATCGTGTTGATAAGTTTGTTTATTTGGATATCTGTATAAAGCTACAAAAGAGCTATCTCCACAAACTGCCCCTAATTTTGACTAGAGGAGAGACAGCAAGTAAACACCTATTAACTAACAACTCTTGAGCTACTTTAATCAAATAGTTGGTTTTCACTTTCATTCTTATAAAGCACTCATGGCTCCAAAGTGCAAAGTGTGATTTTGTGGAAATGGGACATGAACCATGGACTTTCAGGTTCACAGACTAATTAAGTGATTCACTGACTAATGTTAAAACCTACCAGTCATAGAAATAAGATTAATAGAAAAGTAAAAACTAAGCTTTATATTTTGGCGAGTTTTATTCTTAGTAAATCTCAACACTTTTCAAACACTTTTTTTCACACACACAAAAATCACCCGTAGTTCCATTTTATTCTTTATGAACATGTTTTTGTGTTTCGTCAATTCAATTAGTTCAAAATTTATATATATATATGGTGCTAATATAAACGTATTGCCTTTTCAAACTAAAATATCTCAATTTTAAATATGTATAAAGAGCCTTTCTTTCACTTTTCTACCAAAACAAACTAGATATCAAATAAGTAAAGAGATCCAATATATTTTTTACCTTCCATACTTTATAACATAACCAAGAACAAAGTAATTTCTTGTTCAAGTTTATTTTTTTATTAAAGATACAACAGAAAACTATCTTATAACATTAAGAACTGTCTTTCCTTCTATGATGCATGTTTCATAATCAAAAACTTATTCATGAAGGCTAGTACGTTGGTATATTTTAATGTTTTGTTCACTCGAAGGAGATCTTTTACATGATGTAATAAACTTATGAAGTCTAAATGTTTTGCAAAATTTTGGCCATTAGTGGAATCTCTAACATTTGTGAAATTGAGTACAATATAGAAATGCCAGACTAAGCAAGTTAAAACTAATTAATCAGTTCAAAAGTCTGATTCAGTTATATTCACCAGTAATTAATTGTTTGTCTTTTGCATCTATGTTTGCAAGTATCTATAGTATACCAAGATTACCCACTGTATTTAGATGTTAAGTGTATAATGTGTTTAGATAATGTACTTTTATCAACATACAGTATGATTGGCTGTTTAATTAGGAGAGAAAATTCATTTGAAAAAATCTGTATTTAAATATGTAACTGCAAACATAACACTTGAAAAATGATTAAATCTATCGAGTTAATTATTTCAATGAGGTCACAGAGATAATAAGATCTATAGCCATGTTTTATTGTTCTTTCAAACCCTTAAAATAATAAATGTTTGGGTAGTTAAAAACCCAAGGAGTACAAGAAAAAGTTTGGGGGTAAAAATAAAACATGTACTTAGATGTTTTGTAGTTTAATGACCTGTATGTGATGAAAGAAAAAGTGAAAGGTGAATTAGAAAAAAAAAATTAAGTAATATTGTTTTAAGTTTTATCTTCCCAATCTATAGAAAAATACAATATAGGAAAGAGAAAATACAGAATATCAAGCATTTTACTTGTTCTTATAACCAACTGAATAGAGAAATAATTTACAGAAGAAAAAATATTGGGGCATTAAAAATTTAATCGTTAACCCTTTATCATCCATGGAAGGGTTCTCCATTACTGTAATTGATGTAACTGTACGAGCAGGGATATCTAGCATCTTTAAGTACACAGGTGGAGACAATAAAGTTAAAAACCCATATGATAGAAAAAGAAAGAATTGTTTGTTTGTTTAGAATTTCACGCAAAGCTACACGAGGGCTAACTGTGCTAGCTATCCCTAATTTAGCAATGGGAGATTAGAGGGAAGGAAGCTTGTCGTCACCATCCACTGCTAACTCTTGGGCTACTCTTTTACCAATGAATACTGGGATAGACCGTCACATTATAATGCCCCCATGGCTGAAAGGGCAAGCATATTTGGTGGGATGGAGATTCGAACCCGCGACCCTTAGATTGCGAATCGATTGCCCTAACCACCTGGCCATGCCATGCCAAGAAAGAAAGAAATCTGGAATAGTGTTCTGTTAATTTCTTTTCTTCATAAAAACGTGAATTTCAGTTCGTCAAATGAATAATAATGAATTAATTGCAATGGTGTGTAATTATTATCCAAAAAACAAAAATATTTTAGGGTATAAAGTGGTGTGTAAAGGACTATACATTTAAATCAAACAAAGTTAAAGTGTAAAGACTTTACATAAAAGAATAAACCATACCTTTAACTTTTCACTATTCAGTCACAAACTTATAACACAGAAATATAAACTTTTCTGGTCAATTTATTCTACAGGTAGGAGAAAAACTTTATGGAAATGAGGTTAAATTTAGAAAAGAATGTTTTACTGTATAATCACTCAACTAGTAGGAGAAAATAGTTACAGAAGATAAATCTAGAGCTCATATTTTCTCATTTTATTATTTACCAATTTTCTTACAGATAGTACCATTAGTAAAATAAAAAGGTGTGTTTAATTACCCATCAACACAGTTCTCATGACATAGTTTACATTCTCCTTTGTGGTCATTATATTTGGTGGTTGGGCACTTCTCAACACAGTATGGTCCATCCCGCACACTTCGACACTTCGTGCAATTACTGGGACCCTGAAGAATAGATTTCAAAAAGCAAAATGACATTTACTTAAGTTTTCTTTTCTATTTTTGAAATAAATAAATTTAAAAAAATCCTTTCCCTTGAATGAATAAAATTTTAAATAAATAAATTAATTCGTACTTTTAAATATTAACTACAAACATTGTTTATTATTACCAATACTTCATTCTTTCCTTAGTTTCATCTAAAATAACAAGTCTAAAAACAATTGCATAGTAAATTTAACTTATACCTGTCTGTTTTCTAAAGATAATTCATTAAATAAATGCTTAATGTAATAAAAAACAGCTTACAGGACCAAAGCATTCTCCATCACATTGTTCGTCACAATGCTTACATGTTTTCATCCCAGCATCATAAATCCTGCACACCACACAAGAAAAAAAAAAAAAATTAAATTGAAAGCATTAAAGAAAAATTACCAAGCCTGCACAAACAAAGTTTGGTTACAAACTGAAATTTAAGTTTGTAACTAAAAAAAAAACTTCTTAGGTTTGACTTTTAAACAAGATAACTAGAGTAAAGAGCAACTTGAATTATGTTAAAACAAGGCACTCTGTCCAATAAACAACAAAAAAAAGCATGTTGGCTTTGCTGTGGATTTAGGATCATTATCCTGATATTATATCAATATACACACCACTAAAATACTTGACAGTAGTTAAGTATAGGTTTCTTATGATACAGGAAAAACGTTTTATAACAATTACATGAGTGTGAAATCCAGAGTTTGATTCTAAACCAATGACTATCATGAGATAAAGTGTAGGTTAGAAAAAATATTCCTTGAAAATTACATTCAAATTTAAGTTTATCAAAGTGACACCTAGCTCACACAGTTTTAAAAAACAAAAAGCTAATTTATGATATAACTTATCACAGAACTAAATTTCTCTTGATGTTTCATAGCCAATACATTATAATATTTTAACACCTCTAACTGTCAACTTGTTTTTATTCTGTCCACAAATGTACATATTTTTTTTATGTTTATGCCTGTGTAAAGAACTTGCCACACAAACTGAGTGAAATCACTCATTTTTTATAACATATAAGGGACCCTATCAGCATAAATAATGAGTAATCACAATATTGGTGTGTGTGTGTGTGTGTGTGTGTGTGTGTGTGTGTGTGTGTGTGTGTGTGTGTGTGTGTGTGTGTGTGTGTGTGTGTGTGTGTGTGTGTGTGTGTGTGTGTGTGTGTGTGTGTGTGTGTGTGTGAGACTCGTATGTTATTAGAGACTCTTCAACCAACAAAAGTCATGGACTCAAAACAAATGTACATGGATACTATCAATAACTCTACATAGTTTTCACTTCTTCTTTCCTTTGAAACTTAAATATCAACATTATTACAGAAAGACTTACCCTTTCATTGCAGTACAATTCTCAACACACTCATCGTCTAGTCGGTAAGCTTTGCAAGAGAGACATTCGTTAGCACCATGTCCCCAACAACCATCATCTGAACACTGAGAATGGCAGATCAGCCCCTTTTCACCTGAAGGAAGTAAGGCACACTTGTCAACTACTAGGCATCAACAGTAATGAAAAAAATGTTTTTTGTTGTTTTTTTTAAATCAGTTCAGATAACCTACAGCTATATTACTGCTTACTATAGTTTTATGTTATGTCCAAGTTTCTGTTTGTTTTTTGTTTTTTTTTTGTCTGTGAAATAATGTATTATTATATTGATATCATAATATAATATCATAATTTACAGTCCTTATCAGTTCTTTCTACTGATACACTACTGTATCATCGTGTATAAGCATTTGCATCAATGTCACAACGTCCTTCCAAAATGGTGACTCCCTGCGGGAGAAGGCGAAAGTTCTGGGAAAATATAAAGTTTCTGAGAAAACAAGTTTTGTGGGGTGATTATCAAGTACTGTCCAAATCCATTCTTATTTTATTTTTATCAATATTTATAAGAACGGGTTTTACATGTTAGCAATTATACATCCAACAATGAGTTCACAGCACAATTGTATGGATAATTTAAGAAAGTTAAGAGTAATAAAACTAAAGGTAGATATCAAAATGGGTTAATAGATATGGTAAAGTTAAACATAATTTTCAAAAAATGTGAGAGGAAAGCCAATATAATGATCATAGAATAGAAGAATTTCCTAAAAGGAAAACCATCCCTCCAACATATATATATATATATATATATATATATTGAAACACATTTATTCCCAGGCATTGAACAATACACACACATATCCTAAGCTTCATTTTCTTATAAAACTCTTATACTATAACTCTGGTTGCTTAAACCACATGTTATGGTCATGGAAAATAACCAGTTATCAACTTTACAAAATGTTAAAAAACACTTATGTCTTATGTAACAACTTACGACACTTTTGCTCATCTGCATTGCTCTGAAGAAGACTATTGAGTCTGTCTGGTGTGTGAGGACCTGTCACTTTTTCCCAGTTGATCTGTTGAGCAAAACACAGGTCCTGGTTTTCCAGAATAGTGATTCGACCTGATCGAACCTTCTTCAAGGACTGTAGGTTCAGGGACTCAAGGGAAGTTTTTACAATGTATAATGCTGCAAAGTACCTGAAAATAATTAAAGATTATTATCAAACCAAATAATTGCACATATTATTACAAAACTGTCAAGTAAAAACAGCAGGTGAGGGATGGTTAAAACGTCACACTATTGTTTTGAAGCAAATATTAGGTAGAAGAAGCCAATAATAAGCAACAGACCTAATTGGAAGTTATTTATTGATAAACAATATTTCTTTCTATAACATATATTTTTTCAATTTTAATTATAACTGCTGCAATTTGAAATTTGAGCCAATATAATGTATATTTTTGCTTATGTAATTTCAATCTTTTCAATAATTTTTATATTTTTTTTATTGGAGAGTGTACTAGCACTCTCTATGAAGGAATGACACAAATGTCCATATTAAAGTAATACAAAAGTCATCTGTATTTTCTTCTCTATAGCTCATCAGAAGCTAGATACGAAGAGCTACCTGGCATATTTGCTCTATCTTCAGTGTATATGCCGCTTTTCAGCTATCCGGAGCAATCAAAAGTCTAAAACAGGCGAATAGCCAAAACAGAGATTTTTTATTTTCGTTCATCATCATCTTTTTTCAACAGGCCTAGTGCTTACTTAGTTCTAGCAGTAACGATAATTTTATCATAATTTGATAGGGTAAAACAGTCTTCACAATCTTTGACTGCCTATTTTATTATTATTCTATGCAAAACTTATAAAGCTTTAGAAGACACTATAATCTGGTAACCCACATACGCCATCTTATAACAAAGCGAACAAAGCTATGTAGGGCTGGCTAGTGAATTTGAGAAACGGAACCAAACAAGGTAAGGATGGAAGTGGTTTGATCTGGCTAATGATTGATCACATAGCAGACAAAGCCATCACAACTTTACATGGAGAATAAAATCACTATGTTACTTGCTTACTCACTAGCAAAACAAATAGAACCAGAAGCTGCAATCATAAAATGTTACTCAATTGTAAAAAAGTCAGAGATAGTGTTCTAAAGTAAACTATAGTAAAGGTATAATGATGAAAGCTGAGATCCTATTCAAATGCCGAGCTTTTGATAGACAAAGTGGGGAAGCCAGTAAGGTAGAGATTTTATTCTCTGTGTGAAGTCTATGTGACCATTTGTCAGATCAAGTGAAACGTCCACTTCCATCCTTATTGTGTTTTGGTTCCTTTTTTCAAGTTCAGTAGCCAGCTCTAGATAGCTATTTTTGTTTTTAGCAATAATTTTTTCCCTAATACTTGTATATATCCTTACTAAGCAACAATGTATTTCACACTGCTCTCTCATCTACATTCTGTCATCACCATGAACTGCCCTTTCCTCATCAATTCCATTTAGCTATCTTATGTGTATTTGTAAGTTCACCTGTAGCTTTTGTACAGCTAGCAATGGAAAAGGCTCATTGCTGAACATTTGCTCACTGTGTTTAAATAAAAGAAACAAACAACAAATAAATAAATGAAAAATAATCAGATTATTCTCAGTTTCCTCATAAAATACTATGGCTCATGGTTCTTTGTCATTCAAAGTGCTTTTCAAAACATTTCATGTGAAGCATAAAAGCAATAAAATGTAATATTTACCACAACATAGAACTAATGTGTCACTTACTCAGTAAGTTGTCTTCCACCAATGACCTCTAAGTTCCGAAAGAAAGAAAGGTTTTTGAAATCTGGATGGGAAGCTTGAATACTGATGTATCCTGTCACTTCCTTAAGTGTACTGAACACTTCCAGGTCTTTAGGATGCATTTCTGGATACAGAGGTCCAAATGTGTTGCTGAGAAAGTTAAAAATCATGATACTGAAAATTTTAGATAATGCTTAGGTTTGAAGGCTTAAAAGATAAATTTTGCAAAAGAATTTAACAATTTATTTTCTCAACAAGGTTGAAACTGGCTTTTTTGACAAAAGGGATTTTTTTTTTTTTTTTATAAGGGGATAATAATAATAGAATAATTAATATTAATTAATTAATAATTAATAGAAATAATTTTTGTAATGATAGAGTAAAATTAAAAACTTAATTTAAGAAGTTATTTGTTACTGAGATAACTATACCACTACTACTAACAAATTATCATATTCATGTGTGTCATATCACAACTATAAATCAGTCATGTAATATGTGTGAAACTGTAAATTTCTCCACGTACTTTGGAAACATGTCTTGAAAACCTGTAAAACTGTTTTCCAGTATAGTGATAGAACCCTCAATGACTGTGCACCCACGGAAAGAATTAATGTTTCCAGCATGGACTGAATTTACATCACCTTTACAATCTGAAATACATTAAAAAAATATACATTAGAACAAAACTTTCATTTCCAATATAGTGTCTGTATTTTTTTACTTGCAACAATACATGTAAGTGCTAATAAAAATATCTTGTATCTAAACATTACTAAATAATAACAGTGATTAAAACACAGTCTAATACAACTCACTTTTTGGACATGGTCCATCACATGGGACACATTCACCATTCACGGCTTTTTTACTGGAAGGACAAGATCTCACACAAGCTCCACTGTCTCTCAGCAGGTGTTCTAAAATGTCATTAATAACACTTAAAATCATTCATACCTTATGTAATGCCCATTAAATAAAATGACGAACACTACTAAAAAAAAATCTTTAAATACTGATTTATAAAGCAAGTTCCTTCACCATTTTAATGCAGTCTGAAAACAAGAGAAAGTCTGCAGATTTAGCAGATTCAGATCAAGCAGTACATCTTCTTCTGCATCATACATCTTTTAAACTACTGTGACAGTGTAGACAACTGCAAGGAAAACCTTATAGCCAGTTTTTGTAACTGTATTATGATACAACTAACTGTCCAGTCTACTTAAAACAATAATCCCACTAACTTGATGTAGTTCTAATATCTATCATCCAAAGTTTTCTATGCAGAAAAATACCAGGATGTACACACTAATATTGCAAATTTAACAGATAAAATGTATCTTCAATTAAGTAGTTCTACATGATAACAAACTCATAAAATACGCAATACTTCCAATAAGCCAACTCACTCTTTATATAAAAAAATTCTGAAACTATACCATAATTTTTATTTTGAATCCTCTTCCAGCAAGATGTTTACACCAAAAATTTAAATAATTACGATTTTTTTGTATTTCCAAAAAGAAAAATTCACTTGACTGCAGGTCTCTCGTACACAGTTGTATCACTTTATATCAAAAACATATTAAACATACTTTTAAAAATGCTGGTTAGATAAACTAATACTATAGATTAATGATGATACTTTTTCATATAAATCAAATTTTATCAGTGAACTTTATGTTTGCTAATGAAACATATTTGATTACTTTTTAAATAAGTATAAGTCATCAAGATAAATAGAAAACAATTTATGACACTGTGTAACACTTAGAAATGTATTCTTACATCATATTAGATAGTTTTCTATTTATGCTTTCTAATATCACAGTGAACAAACTAAATATGCTGCATTTAAGCAAACTGACCTGGACAATTTTTTACACATGTAGCTCCATATGCATATTTTCCATTAGGATTAACTTCCCACGAATATGTGATCGGGTTATACAACATCATAGGTGGACATTCTTGTTTACACACTCCATTGTCATTGAAGTTCCGACAAGCCTAAACATACATAAATAAATAAATTTAAATTGTTTAAAAGCACTTGGTTAGAGTTAAGTTAAAACCATAATGCAACAAATATTAGAGATGTAATATAGCACATATATGTTTAGCTTTTGTTCCAATTTTAATTCAATCTATATAAACCTATAGTGAAAATAATATGGCAACAACTCTGCCATAGCCGGTCCCAGTAGCTGGCAAGAGAAGACAGGGAAAGCCAGTACAGCATTGGAAGGATGGGATTACAGACGACATGATCGAAAAAGGAATTGTAGAAGATCTGGAAATGTGCAGAGATGATTGGAGGAGGGTAACACATGTGAAGGACAGCAACCCCTGCTATAGAGAAAAGCCAAAGAAGAAGAAAGTGAAAATAATAAGGCAACACTATTGGTGACTAACTGTCTAGTACCTAACCATCAGGCACTAACCACAAACAGCTTCCAAGTTATCCTTGTATGTAGTTTGGCATGTTTTAATCAATTCATTTCTGCATCTTGTTACCGTGTGTTTCAAATTACACAATCGCAATAAGTGTGTTTTATTAAACATTGTCATTAGTAGAATAAAAACCAAATGATTTTTTATGTTTATAAGGTATACATAATTAAACATTTTTCTATACCATCATGTCAGAGAGGATCATATAACATGAAATAGCACTAAAATAATGGAATAAACCACACATGAACAAAGATAAAAGAAACTCTTTAAGTCCACACTCTTAGCCAATCTAATACAGAAGTAAGCAAAATCTGGCTATACATTTGAAACTTATCCAAACAGATAATTAATTAGTAACCAAATGGGGTGAGAGCCTAGCTGAGTAAATATTTTTGTTAACAGGAAGACCTAGGATTGAATCCTGGCTCCTTCTCAGGACTTCCTTGATGAAAGCAGCAGATTAACAGCCAATACACGAGATATACATTAATATGTAATCAGTATTTAATAAAAATAGCAACTAATTAGTAAATAAACTTAGGTGATTGTGTGGACTAGAAACCATTACAACAATTTATACCCAAGTGCCATAAACCAAACTCTGAAGCTTCAGTGGAGCTTGAGATAACCACATTCTTAGTTAAAATAATCAAAATATTATATATTTTCATATCATATTTAGTATCAACGCTACTTAAATTTATTACAATAATGGAGAAGTTAATTAAATTAAAAACAATATAAGACAATATGAGCTGATGGTCCAACCGAGATGTCAGAAAAAGGTAAATTTGGTGGATCAGATACTATCATAGGACTCTTAACCAAAACATTTATGTAGTTTCAAACTCAAAGAATCCATATTTTATTATTTTGTGTTTTTATTATTATACTTTATATAAAATTAAGATTTATTTCCAATTAATTTTACTCAACATAGAAAATTAAGCAATTGTTTCGTTTATTAAAAAAAAAGTAAGTTTAAACTGTATCATGAATTAACATGAAACACATCAGAACGGAGTATAGCTAAATTAAAATAATTGGAAAGAAAGGGCTATTGACTAAAACTGCTATAAATTCTTGTCAGTTATGTCAATTGATTTGAGAGAGCTTTAGATTTGGATTCATATCTTGTATGAAAACATAACCCTAATCAACTGACTTAAACTTTCAAAATCAATACAATTCAAATAAAATAGTGTTTTTACGAAATGTATCAAAATTTCTAATTAAAAAAAGAATTAAACTTTTGTTAAGCAAAATAATGAAATGAGAATTTTATTATCCATAAGTACATTTTGTAAAACTTGATCACTATTAGTATTTATCATCATATTCTAGTCGACATTCACCTGAAAACTATATACATCAGAAAACCTACTGCACATGGTTCTTAACAGCCTCAAAATCAGAGTTACCAAGCTCAAATCTGCACTAATATAGTTTAGTGTACATGAATTAAAAACTTGCAAACTCTCAATCAGGTCTTTATGGTCTAATTTCGTGCATGTTAATTAAAAACATGTAGACATCCAATCTAGACCTGCTTGATTCGATTCCAATGATCTAGAACACATTTGTTAAAACATTCTTCAGCCTTCCAGATTCCACTTAATCTCTCTGGATATGCAACCTAAACAAGTCAAGGTTTCAATCTAAAACCTGTCTTGTCAAGATTCCAGTTTCTGTATAATGCCAAGAAGGAGAGTTTCAAATCTGCAATGGGAATTTAGTACTTCTTTAATGTATACTAAGTTGTTAACTTTTTTATCACTGCTCATACACCTGCTTTTATGTTCTAAAATTAACATGGTTTCAACAAACTTAATTCATAATTTGTCTATTTTTAACAACTATATTACCAGGCAATCACTCTGTTTAGGTCCTACACAGCCTCCAGCACAAAACAGATGACAGCACTCTCGAGGGTTTGGACCAAAACAACGACCTTGGTGGCACTGGGGAGAACAGTTGATCTTGGAAAATTTCTGACAGTTATGTGACCCTTCAGCCCAGCAGCCATCTTCACACGATTTATTACATGCTGGGCCTAAATACATAACAAAGTATGTAACACAAGCTTTGATATAAATTTTAAAGTTAAATTGCTTACTTTTCAAAAGTGTTTTGTCGTTTTCCAGTTTTATACTGAAGAGCAGCCAGTGATGCCATGAAAACAGTTAAATAAAGAGTTTGATAAATAAATAAAGGATCCAACTTTTCTTACATAGATTAATCTTTTTCCTATTGTTGTTACAAACATTGTAACTCATAAAAGCAAATCTGTTGTCCCAGACTGTAAAATTTCCTTTAATTAAAAAAAAAGTTTATTAATATAATGTTTAAAATTTTTCAGTCACACTCCCATGAACCAGAACTTTTCAACAATGATTATTTATTCCTAAGACTCAATAATTTCTCCTATGAATAAAAAACAAAAAAAAACATTAAAATATGTTGCACGAGTGGAAACTAGTAATATGTAAAGAATTTTCGTTACCCCCCCCCCCCATTTGATATCGGGAGGCTAGATGCCAATTGTTTTTCGAGTAATCTTTTAAACCACTTGATGTATTAATTTGAAGATCTACAAAGCTGACTTGCACATTGTTAATACTTTAATGAAATACAAAACACAGCTTTTAACCAAATATATACTTCACAAAGTTATTTCAAAAAGATTTTCTAAAAATAATTGTTTCATGATCTAAATATTATTGAAACAAAAGTTTGAGCCCTTAAAGGCATATTTATATTGCATCTAATTGGGTTGTGAAATAAAGTTATTAACACAACAAGACATTTAGTATCAATGTTCAGAAACCAAATTATAGTTGTGTCAGGTTTAAAAAAAAGAAAGAAAGATATTTAAAAGAAAAAATGGACCTGAAGAAAAATAAAAATTAAATCAAAGTGTAATCTTTTTGGAAGGAAGTAAGACAGGATAAATATTTTAAATGACCTAGTTAGTACACAAAACTTTTATGTCTTCTTTATGTCTCCCGAATTAATTTGTTTTAGTGTATTTCCTTTCTTGTGGAACAATGTTTACATGTTTAACAAATCCTGTTTCAAATTCCAGTCACCAGGCAACACTAAAAAAAAAAAAAAATATATACAGGGCAGAAGATATTTTTCAAAAATATAACGTGATGGTACTCTAACCTGCTGTCATGTACAGCATTACACATAATTTTTGGCTTCGCAAATCAAATCAGGCATTTTTCTTTGGCATACATTTTTCAGGATTGATACACAACCATAATATAAATAAATACATACATCATGTTAAATATCTTTGGTTACAACTAAAACATGTTTTTCAACTTACATTCTCGTTCTGGTTGTGGAAAGTCATACACATAATCAGACACGGCATTTGGACCTGTCAGAATTTCATCCCACCGTATTGTGCGTATATGACAAAGGTTGTAATTGTTGAAAAACCCAACACTGCCATTAAGAATATCTGAAATGAGAATGAAAAATTATATGAAACTTTTGACATTTTTTTAAAAAATAAAGCTCAATAAAGTAATTAGTTATTTATGCACTTCCTGTTAATGTTTGTAAAAGGTACAACACAAAAATGAGATTCAATATAGTTGCAATTTATCTTTGTTAACATTAGGTCGCACTTCAATGCTTAAAACATTTCTTTTAACTATTCAAGAGACTTCTGAATAAACATTTTGAATACTTATATAAAGCATATAAATTATCTTTAGACAACTCATCAGAAGTAAACTATTTTTCACATTTTCAGCAATGGTCAGTTACAAGTTATTTGTTCATATTTTTTATATCTTATACATGATTTTTGATTCAATTCTAAATATAGGATGAGTATCGATATTAGTTGTGAAAAAACAAAGATTAAGCCATAAAGTTCAAATGAAATCACATCCAAACTAGTATTAATAACTTTTAAAGGGAATTACAACAGCAGATTAATGTTGTTCATGTGCTACTTAAAAGATCTTACTTTTTACATAATTAGATTATTTAATGAAAGATTTGTTGTTTGTATGTTATTGATGAAAGATGGTATATAAAAAAACAACAGCATTTAAATATTAAAAACCCTCTTCCTCTTAGTTTTGTTCTTTATTTTAAATCTGTTAAACATAAATTATTTCAGTTGGCTTTCTAGTTTTACTCATATTAGATTAACTTACCCCTAAGTGATGGCATTTCTAGTGTTTCCATCTTGTTAAGAGTGACCATTAGGGCCAACTCCTTTGTATGCACCTGGAGACTAAAAAGGTTTCGACCTCGGATTATCATCAGACTTGGAAGAACTACTCGTTTGACTTGGACATGCGAGATTAGCACATACCCTGTTACTTCTCTAATATCTCGAAGGAAGCTCAAATCAAGATTCTCATCCTGAAATTAAACGAAAAAATTAGATTCAAAATATTTCAGTATCAAAAACTGTATGTACAATTTAAAATTGTGGTCAAACCAATAAAATACTATTTTATCTCTTACAAGCTGGAAATATTAATATAATACTCTTGAGATGAGACGTTTTTGTCAATGGCTTAGAAAATTAGCCCAATAAATTGTGTATCACTATAAAAGGTCTTACAAGCTTGATTCAATTCCACTGTTCAATCTTCCCTTTCTTCACATTTTAGCAATGTAAGCATTGTTTATACCCCAAAAACATTTTTTTAAAAACTTTATTTTTCTTTACTTTTATACACAAGCTTCTGCACGTCATGACATGTAGACTGTAAACCCAAAAACATTGTTATAACTTGTTTAAGCCTACTCATTCACACATCTGTCTACTTTCTTCTCAATCTAACATTTATTCTGTTACGAAAATATTGTTAAACACTACATTTTTCTAAGGATACAGACTCAGAAGGTGTGATAAGTTACTCTTATGCACCAATGGTTTTTACAAACACGTTTTTGAAAGCCCTCATCAGGCCTTACGGGATTCCAAGCAAATCTGTGTGAAAATAGATGCTTCAACTGTACGATCATGCCAAAAGCAAATACTACGCTGTGCTGAACATAGTATAGATAAGTGTAGAAACCACACCGAGATAATGTGAAACTTGTGTGAAAAAAAAAAGCTCTATTTTGTGACAGCCATTTTCACACAAGAATTTAATAAAAGTCTAGTCAAATTTAAGAATGTGGGATTTTTTTCGTTAGTGAAATACATTTGGCAAAAATATTTAAAACGGCGTAATAACTAGTCCGTAATTTGGCCTATGAAAGCACATTATGATAAAATGCAGCTATTGTTTTCCACAGACTGAGATAACGTTAATGAGCCGTACAGACAGCCCTCTAGTACTTGATTGTATCGCCTGAGATTTAACTTTTTTATGGATTTATCATGCATATCTTTTAGCCTGATACAATTAATGATTTACATGTACAAGTTTCCTTTTGAACCGATATACATACGTCCTACAAAAATGATAAATTATTCTAACCTGTCACGTAAAACCTAAATAAGATTACTACTAACAACATGTAATTATGCTTAAACACAAAGCATACAACAGTGATAATCATGTATGTATATATATATATAAAGCCACGAAACGAATCTACTAAGACACGGTTGTTAATGAAAATTCACATTTATAAAAATTTAATTTTGGTTACAAATTAAAAATCTGGTTGAGCGATGTGACAGGTTTACCGATTTCCTTGTTGTACTTATTAGCTAAAAGTTATTCAAGTGTTTATAAACATCGTTTAGTATCTTTGTTCGAATATTACAAACCTCCAACCAGGTCAGCTCCAAGTTGCCATCCACGTAAGTACAATTTGTGTACCTGTCTCGCAGATTTTGATAATGGTGCTCTCGATTGGAAGGCACCGACATGCGAGCTTCAGTTCCGATACATACTGTAAGAAAGAACACAAATAACAATGAAACGATATTATCAACAAAACATAAACCTTCTATGCCTAATGAACAAAATCAGTCAAGTATACGAAAAGTTAAACAATATGTAATGGTGAAAAAGGTGGCTTTTACAGACGAATTTTCGCCACCAAATAATACTGTGTTAAGCCTATAACAATTTCATACTAGCCTACACATATAAAAATCAACTCTCGACGTCACGTTAGTAAAATTTTAAACATAATGAAATCCGCTTTATAATCGAACACTAGAATTTACATTACCTAAAACTTTATATATTATGCCAGTTTTTGTACGAGTAGTTTCAATACCATATCATATCATCAAAACACAAGCATATCAATACCTTTAATTTTAATTTTACTGATTTTCTAAACTTTGATCACCAAATAATTTCCGACGAAGCTAATTACATTAAAATGTTTTTAAATTCAAGGATCATAGATTAAATCTCCGTGGTAATTATATTAATTTTACTTTTTATAAATGGAAGTGTTTTGTGCCTAAAATTTTTTACAACACCACTTCTGGCCTGTTTTATCTCTACATTAAATGCTACAAAATTAAAAAAAAGAAAAACTAACTTTTTCCCTTCTTCAATACCGTGTCCTCTCTGGCAGATGCAAAATACAATAATATTGCTAGAATAATAAACTGTAACCACATTCTTTCTGCTAAAAACATCATATTTGGAAAACAAAAACTTTAGACGCAAATGAATAGTGACGAAAGTGTATGTTAGTACAACCGCTTCGTTGACAAAACTGACAATTTTCTAGACTTCCATATAAGAACAGCACTTATTCTGGCAGCGGTATTGAAATTCTATACAAACAGGAACAATGCACAGGATAAATATATACACTTTATGTACACTGAGGTAATATGGCACAAACGTATGACTATCTAAGATTCAGAAAATATAGTCCTTTTTTTCTGATTTGGCTATAAAATAACTAGAGGGATTAGGCTTTCGATCAATTTGTTTCTTGGAAATGTCTTCGTCATCATCACAACCAGAACCGTGGTCGTCTTCTGAACTCTTGGACATTTTTCCTTGCTGAGGCGATCTGGACATTGCTCAACTGACAACCTGGATTTAGTGCGCAATAGATCATAGTAGGTAATGCTTCAGCACCAGAAAGCTTCCAAATGGTGGTTCTCCACGGATAACAAGTAATGCGTGAAACCTGCGCAACAAAATTCAGTTATCTGAATGTTAAGAAATACATTTTTATTTTCTATAATAGTGAGTTGAAGACGGGTAACATGGTGCAACCAATCTGGAACTGTCGGGCAATATCTTGTCCTCAAACAATGTTACGTTTTACACCATTCGTTTTCTGTTCATATTAAAAAACAAAACATATTTAAGAAAATTAGTGGTACAATATGTGGTCCATTTTTATGACAGTTAAGACTACAATACACCAATTATTTAGATGTAAATATTTGAAATGTAGATACTGGGATCAGAGTAATAGCAATAGTCGAATTAGAGGGCACGTGGCATCGAAACGATGCAACGAAATTGTGCTGTCTACAAAATCACATTAGTTCACGGAATCAGACGGGGGTATTTGTAGTTTAAGTATCGTTGTTTCCTATATATACTGAGATACATGTAACTGTTTTTAACAACACTTACGAGTGTGAAATATAAGAGCTAAGAACGTTGAATATTACATACTCGAAAAAAAAAAATCGAAAATGACTTGAAGTTATAGAATTAGTTGGAAACAATTTAAGAAACTACAATAACAATTGGGCTAAACAAGCTCCTCCTCCTCCCACCTCTTACAGCTACTGTTTTTATATTTTGTGATTCCAACAACACTGGTGCTGCATTTTCCTGCTAATTGTGTTACTTGTATAAAGGGGAAAAACCAAGGTCATGATAACCGAATCCTTTGAATTTGTACCTAAGCGAATTATTTACCCTTCATCAAAGCGCTATAAAAACAAGTGGTGAATTTAAACAAGTACAATAAATAATTATTGCATACCGCTATGCCTGCAATAATATGTTTTCACGGGTATTCAGATAAGATGGGTGGGGCTATTAGAAGGTCCTTGGTAATTGTACATTATTCGATTTTTATAACAGTCGACATAAACATTAATAGAGTGAGGTGAGCAGGTATCACTTGTAGAGGGTTGACCAAGGTTTGCATTACGAATACTTTTATTTATATGCATAGTTTATCTGTTATGTTTCATTTTTTTCTGTATTTCGTTGCGTGCGTGACTGTGTTTAATCTAACAAACGTAGTAAATATGATAATGAACATGTAGCTAGTTTTTAAATCAGACTGGAAATAGTTTAACGACTTTCAATAAAGTAGAGCCAAGAAAATTTATTTTTAATATACCCATAAAACTTAGCTCCAGCACAAAAGTTCTCTCCGACTCTAATGGAAAAATGTTCAAGGTCTTAGAATTTGAACATGTAACCAGGTGAGGTGTTTGAAACACTATACAACCACATTGAACTGACATATTAATTACAGGAATAAAGCATGAAACTCGTTAAAAAGTATAGACTTTGAGAAAAATTGATCAACACAAAATGAAACTTAGAAGTCAGCGATCGCTCGCAAATATACGCGTAAAGCAGTTACTACTATTTTTCGTAATAATTTGACTCCTTGAGAAAGAAAGAAAAGAGGATGTGTGCTATGCACACTACGGGTATCAAAACCCGATTTTTACTGTCATAAGCCTGCAGACTTACTGTTGAGTCACTGGACGTAAATGCACAGACCTCGTTGTATTATATTCTAGGTTGAACAGGATTTATAGATCTATTTAAGCAAAATTAATCCTTCAAATTCATGTTTTTATTACGAGTGTAATGAGGTTGTAAGCGACGATTCCTCTTCTATTACTTTTCTGATAAGTTAATACTTTTACACAATACAGGGTAATACTTAATGGACAAATTTATGCTAAGTTCTGTTTGCAAATCTCGAGCACAGCGATCACTTGCGCGTGATGTACCACCTACGTTATCTTCCAACAAGAGGTTGCTGAACCAGAAATAACAAAACTAAACAAAGCAAAACCCTGTTGCTACGAAACTGCGATATTATATATACATACACACACACACACACACATTATTATTATTATTATAGTTTGTGGTCACATACAGAACTAAAACTTTTCATCTGCAACACAATGAACGCAAAGTTCCCGCCAAATGTGTACGATAATAAATATGCCCAACATATTATGTCGCCTAGTTACTCATGTCAAAAGGCGACATACTCCGACACTTGTGTAAAATAAGTACAATAAAATAAAAATTCCAATTTCTTATTAATCTAATATAATTTTCGCCTTAGAGACAGGAAGATGAGATTATTTTTCATGAAATTCAGTAATCTATCACACGCGATTAATAAAAAAACAGTTTAAGTAACTTTTTTTCCAAAAAAAATATCGATCAAGTCATTTTTCTCAAGGGAGAAACTGACTGCATGAGAGGTTAGCACTTTTTCCAGGTTAATAACAAATACGAGGGCGGATCTGAATCTGGAGATGAATCGTGCAGTTTCCTGCAGAGATGGCAGAAGCCGGTAAACAGTTGCTTTTCCACTGTATAGATGAACATTTCCGCACACACCAAATTATACTTTATTCAGTGAACTACAAAGTTCAGGGCGTGACTATGACCAGGGCTAACGACTGGCACGTTCGTTCTCCGTTATTCGTTTTGGATAAGTCCGGAAAGAAATAAAAAAATATTTGTTAAGTCTAATTACTGAGAACCAGTTTTGGAAAGGCTTGAAATCTGAAGGTTAACCGAAAGCTAGTTTTGAAAAGGCTGTTTTTCTCAGCGAGACGCCCCCCAGTGGCACAGCGGTATGTCTGCGGACTTACAACGCTAGAATCCGGGTTTCGATACCTGTGGTGGGCAGAGCCCATTGTGTAACTTTGTGCTTAACTACAAACAAACAAACAAACTCAGCGAGAGTGGTTCTAAATTATCAATATTTCAAACTACACGAACAAGCTTTCTAAATTTATTTATCCAATTTTCGTGACAAAGCATAAAACGATATATTTTGAGATTGTAGTTTAATTATGGTCATATATGAAATACACGATTTGTATACGACGCAACAAAGAAATAACCATTTGATTACCCAATTGACTTTGTATTATTTATGATTCAGTTCTGTTAATTACCCAAATCCCAGTAGCGTAATCAGAAGCAAAGTATTAATTCTGTTTAACCCTACATACGATTCTCATTTTTGTTTATAATTTGACACTTAATTAAGTCTTCAATGAATTCAAATTATATAAATATTCTATTTTCGATATTATTTCCATCACTTCTCAGAAGTGTAAATTAATTTTGAGTTCATTCTGGCAAAGACCACAATCACAAACCAACTATTATAATTGATTGATTATAATTCAAAAGGAATAACCTAAGAATTGTACTATATATTGTCAAAAGTAGACTATTATATTTGATACTAACTGGGGTCTCTGTCCGTAGAAAGGGTAAAGTAAAAACTCGTTTGTAACACAAGAGAGGAAATTGTGCTTTTATTTTTCCTTAACATAATAAACAATAAAGTGCAAATAAATATACATAAAGGTGCCAGTACTGAAAATAAATGTATACTGTTTTCAAGAATTCTATAAATATGAAATCAGATGAGGGGGGCACCCCCCATGACCTTCCTCATGTTATCCTGCATCACTGTGTCAAGTTTGGTGCTGACTGATCAAGAAATGTGAAAACGTATAAGGAACTGATGGCTGAAAGGTGCGAACAAACGGACACAAACTTAGATTCACTAACTTCATTCATTCTGCTACAAATACCCGATAATAGTTTCATCATTGAAGCAAATAACTTTACTAATTAACAACTGCTGTTAATTCAGAGAAAAAAAAAATCATAATTTTCCAATATATAAAAAAACAAAAAATGGTAAACGTGCATGTGAGACTTATGTCAAGAAAATATATAAATTTAACTAATCGTGATTAACACATCTAACCTATACCATTCTATAATGATTACAATAGTATATATTTAAATTGGAAAATTAAGTGTGTTATGCTTTAAGCAATAAAAACTTTGAATCTTTTAGCACTTATTAAATGATAACATTTTACGAACTTAAATTTTGATTAAACTAAAACGTTTCCTGCTTTCACCAGTTTTAGTGTGTAAGTGAAACTTCAAATTTTTGGATAAATTTGTTAATTACTCCGATGTTATATTATTTCGTATTTAATTTATATTATGGCCTAAGAAATATAAATACATATAATCAATTTTGAATGCAACAAAATTCAACGTCTCGCGCAGTTGTGCCAAAAGATAACCTTTATTACAGTGGTTTTTTTTTTATTCAATGAAGATATATGTTACATTTTATAACCTCTAACGCAATGCATGATTTTCGTTTTAAAAGAATGTAAATTTTTTATGATACGTTTTATATTATAACCTTACTCAGAATATATGACGTAATCCAGTAAGGAGATATATATTACATATTACAACTTTTTTACAGTACAGTTTTCCCACTTCAGTCATGTACAACTCATTATTGTTGGTGGAGAAACATTTACTGTGTTCTGTTAGAAGCATGTACAGCAGATGAGCCAAAATCGCTTACTTTATCGGACCCCAATATTCCCCATCATGCAACGGAATTTCCTTAACATGCTTCACAATGGCGGAATATTTTTACCACGTCCGTCAATAAAAAGACATCGGACGTTGAGTTTTCAAACAAGTTTTGCAGTCGTACCAAGAGAGAGAAAGAAAGAAGAAAAAATGGTAAAATGAAAAGATTAGAGCCAAGCCCTCGACGTGAACGTGCCTTTTTAGCTCAGCATGATACTTAACGCAACAAGGCCCCGGACATAATGAAGCAGAGGCTCCTGAAATCGCTCGAGCCAAGGTTGGTCAACATTTCGTCTGCGGAAACTCATAAAAACATATTTACTAACATACTTTGCTAAATACTAATATAGTTTTTTTTAAGACGACTATTATTTTTTCAACTTCCATTATATATTTTTTTCTAACATTTAACATATAAGATACATTTTTGTTAAAAAATGGTACGTTGTTCTTATTTCACATTCGTCCTCGTTCTAATGGATAGTTGGAATTAAGTTATTTTTCTGTTAACTCGACATGAACATAACTTTTACGCAGATATAAGTGGAAGTTGCAGTAGAGAAGCACGTGCATATTTTAGCGCCGTTTTGTTCAACACTTTGATGCCTGTGTCCACTCTACCAGCTAGGTACCTCCAGCCCGTGTACATTTTATGGTCCCTACCAGTTGGGAAAAGTGTGGCTGTATCCACCATCAGCCAGATACTGCAGAATACAGGTGTGTGTGTGTGTGTGTGTGTGTGAGGCAGTTTTTTTTATATATTATTTATAGTGGCCTGGCATGGCCAGGTCGTTAGGGCGCTCGACTCGCAATCTGCGGGTTCGAATCCCAGTCCCAAACATGCTCGCTCCTATCAACCGTAATAATATGATGGTTAATCCCACTATTCGTTGGTAAAAGAGTAACACAAGAGTTAGCGGTGGGTTGTGATGACTAGCTGCATTCCATCTAGTATTTCACTACTAAATTAAGGACTGCTAGCGCAGATAGCCCTCGTGTAGCTTTGAGCGAATATTCAAACAAAACAAACCAATTATTTATAGCAAAAAGAAATGGAACATATAGCATTAATTATACCGGATGTTATTTTACTAAATTTAACTGTCACCAAAGTGAATCGCGATAAAAACATCTTCCAATAACAGTAAAGTTTAGAAGCCCAGTTTGTGTCTATAATCAACTATTTATAAGATTTGTAATTTTTTAATGTCTTGCAGCAATGGTACGTCGATCGATTCTAAGCTCAATCATAAGGGTTAAGCATTGTTCATATAGTTGAAAGTGTGCAAGTAACTGTATGTCAATTTTGTCAGAAAGGACCCATCTTCAGTTCTATTTTCATAATAGGGTAGTTGGCTTTTGGAATGGGTTGACCTTAAATGTGGTGAAAGCAGTAAATTTAAGTGAAAGCATGATAACTAACAATGATAACGACAGGTTCTGAGTTCATATGAGATACAATTTAGTCGATGGGGCTGCCCAGATGGACAAACAGGTTCCTTCTTGTCGTTAAATGTTATTTAGGGCAGGGTTCAGAGTGTGTACACTTAAATTTAACAGGACTTTAACCACGTTTTGAAATATTGTTCTGGAAATCTTTCTTCTGATTATATTTTATAGCTTAACCAGCGTGTTTACAGTAGTGCGGGATTACCCGTGAGAAGTAATGTTAATAGAACTAATAACACCATTGGCAACTCAAGCTTGTTAATACATGTAATGGCAAAAAACAAAACAAACTACAACCAAAAATACTACAACTCGACTTTCCGAATGGCCTGATCAGCTATATCAAAGTTCTGCCTGGGTTCGCTCCACGAATTTGGTATACTAATACCCATTATTTGTTGTTCTAGACTTTTTTTCATTGGGGGGGGGGGGTTTAACTCATTTCGTACAATATTATTTCTACTTTTTTCTTTCATATTATTAAGACATGCAATCAACATTTCATCAACAAAATACGCATATAATTCATTACAATTTTCCCATTAAAACAAACTAAAGTCTTTTGACAAGGTTTTCAATGTAAGCTGTCAATTCGTTGAACTCTTGTGAAACACCTGAAGGTAAACATAGTTCCCAGGTAATCAGAACTGGTTCAACATTTATTGCCAACTTGAATAACCTGCTGCGGTAAGAATATCGAGAAGCGACAGCTGTCGGTTTGTAGCGAAACTGTATGAAAACTCCACGGTAGCATATGCTAATGAACTGCACAATTTACTGGTCAAACAACTCACGTGCTAGAAGCGATCTCTGTCTTCCTGGCAATATGTTATAAAACTATTCTAATACTTAAACCGATAGCCAGGAAATCATTTGTTGTAACACAAGTGGCCCCACGACACCAATCTTGAAACTTAGTGATAATAAATAAGGAGAAAATATTATTATATGATTATTGCATCAGGCGCCACTCTTTTACCGTAAATCCACCTCTCCCGAAGCATGACTGTGTGTGTCAATATATGTATATAACCACGCGTATTAATTTTTTTCTAAAGCTAAAAATGATCAAGCAACTAGTGTTATTTTTTATTCCAGTCAAATATATATAATAGCTGTTGAAAGAACGACTAGCGGCACGAGTATTAAAACACTTTTGCAGAAGCCATCTTCAAGTTGATAACATTCTGGAGTATTTGGTTTCTTAACTAAAGACGTTTTCCCTCACTTTTAAAAAAATATATAAATATAAAAAGTAACATTAATCTGTAAACGCAGATTAATATTTTTTACATTATTAAAATAATGCGAAGATATAAATACTCATTCAGATGTGTTAAGCCTATCAAGGCAGACTGAATTTTCAGTTAGGTTTACTTGCAGAACATCTCTCTCTACAAATACTTACTCTAACAATCTGGAGAAGGGATTGATGACCGACTTCAGTATTCTCGGCGGAGCCCGATGGATAATGCTAATAGCTTCTTATTTAAAATTTGTTCGTGAAGTCTTGTAATGTGTTATCAGAGGAGACGGACGCGGTTAGAATAGCCCAATAATTGACGGTAGGTGTTGTTATCTAACTGCCTTCTCTGTTCTATCAGCTCAAAATTATGTTCGGCTAGCGCACATAGACTTCGCGTAGCTGTGAGCGAACGTTCGAAACAAAAACTTGTTAGAAATTGTTTGAAAAAGACGTAAAAAGAAAAATAATCAGGTTAAATTATTCGGGGTCATTTTAAATCTTTATCCGTGGGGAGGTTGTTGTTTTTTTCTTTATTATTATTTACGGTTTAAGTTGCTTGGAAATGAAGATATATCTAGGAAAGTTTTGTTCAAACCCTGGATGTTATAGTCTAGGACTTTGTTACCTAATTCATTATAGTCTAGGACTTTGTTACCTAATTCATTATAGTCTAGGACTTTGTTACCTAATTCAAAGAAAGATTCTTTCTTGCCTGAATAATATTCTTAATTAACGAAATGGCACGAGCCGCAACGGATGAAGATGGATTTCATTGCCCGGTTAGTCAAATATTTTAAGATAAGTTATCGTAGTGTTTAAAAAGTACAATCTATCATTAAGTCTATTTTTTATTAAAATACATCTTTTAATAATGAGATATTTTATACACTTCAGACATAGTGGCAGTGTGTAATCGGTACTGGACACAAGAAACACGTAAAATAATTTTCAAGTTTCACAACCTTACCCTAGATATTTGGGCTTGTCACGTTTGTTTTAACCGCATTTAAATTAGTATGCCCACCTCCTACACCAAACATAAGTCACTTTATCTACTACATAAAGCATAAGTGTGTGTGTGTCCGGAAAAAAATACACAGTCGTATATATCTGTCATTTCGTATCTGTTCCTTATAGTTTCCAAGTTTCTTGATCAATCAGCACCCAACTTTACAGGAGGAGATGAAGGTCATGAAGGGGTTAGACCCCCCCCCCCCATCTAACTTAATATTGATACAATTCTCGAAAACAATAAATATTTATTTTCAATATCGGTACCTTTATGTATTTTTATTGCACATTTAATGTTTATTATGTTAAAAAAAGAGAAGCACAATTTCCTATCCTTTGTTTCAAACGAGTTTTTATTTCACCTGTCCAACAGCGAGTACTCCAGCTAGTTATGCTTATAAATCGTTGTAGGCCTACCAATTATTATATTAGCATAATATGGTTCCTTACACAAATATTTCAGCCAGTTTAAATTATGATGTACAAGTTCACCTTTAATCGTAAATGTGAAACTAAATCTTAAAACCTGGAACCAAAACCATTCAGTTTTCAGATGTCATCATCGTTGCTGTGTGTGTATGCGTGTCTGAAAATCATAAAATATATATAAACCAGATAACTGATTACGCATTAAAATGTTTACAATCAAAACAAACCCTTTCTCCTGTTCATTCTTATATTTACTAAAATGTTAACTATTGGGATAACTCATCTAGCTGTAATTGAACTTTAATTATTCATACTATTTTTTAAGCAAATCAACACACCTCATAAACACTTAATGTAATAGATGTTGGTTAGTTCAAAGAAGATTAGAAACATTGTGACTGTTTTTTTTTTTATGCCCACACCTTTAAAAGATGGATGATACAAGACCCACATCGTCTATTCCATCTTACATAAAACATGAAATGTATGCACCCCTCACTCCCTTTCTTCCCTAATGCCAAAGCTGTCACTTCACTTAGAAGTACTTCCTTTACCTTTCTGATTCAAGGTCATACCGTCCTTCTTCCCACAGCTGAAGATACTAAGAGAAGGGAAGATATAATTATATTAAAAACCGGTTGCTAATGGCTCTAGGCCTCTCCTTTGGTCATTTATACATCACTAACACCAGGGTGAATGAATTTTATTGGTTGGTAGCTAAAGAAATATAATGTGGTCGCCATACGCTCTAGCTGAATGTATAAAATATATCTTATTACAATAATTTCCTTTCACACGCCCCCCCCCTTTTTCTGTAATTTTACCCGCATAATTTTTCATATTTTTTCAGCGACAAATGACAAGTAAAGCTGAATTTTGCTAAATTGAAGTAATAACAATCAGATTTGAACATCAAACGATGACAGAAACTAAGATTAGTTTAAAGGTTAGTTTTGATAAATGTGAAAAAGAAACGTATAAAAAGGACTGCATCCAGTGGACGAACTAAGCGAATACAAAAGGGGTAGTTGGCACTATTTTAAATCTTCTATTATAAAATCCAAAGCTTTGTATGAATTACAAAATATTCCAGTTAAACTATTTGTTGTTGATCAGTTCTTGCTTTCATTAAGATCGTAACACCAATTAAATAAATAATAAAAACAGAAGCAAGAATCCTTTTCGACATTTTATTATTCTGGGATGGAATAAGCAACATACTGACGTACCATTGTTTCCAACAAATGAACGAGCGGATAACACGACACCATGCTCTCTCCTTCACATTATATGATTACATGTTCACAAACTGCCACAACGAAAAATGTTACTCTTGACATAACATAGAAGAAAAAAACATTCATTGTAACTAACAGAATATTAAACTGAATCGTCATATCACGAACACCATCGTTACCAACTCTTAATTGCGAGTTCGTGAATAATGTCACACGCTATCGTTTAGGGGACACATGATTGGCGGATACTGAAAATTAGATCACTTTCAACTACTAGTACGTTAATATGTCAATTTCAGCCTCAGTGGATAACAAGCAGTAGAAATAGAAAATCATACAAACGTCAGAGCTCTGGAATTAATAATAAGGAAAGAAACAATTAAATAAAGATCAGCTATCATCAAGTAAAAGTTTATCAGATAGACATGTCTCTTCTTGCACTGAATCAACAGTAAATCTTCATATGTATTAGAAGGATTAAGTGTTAGGATGACGTTTTATCCTAATTAGATAACAAAACTCCAGGTTGTTCGCTTAAAAACATTAGTGTTAATACCAAACCTTACAGTTTGTTCATTTGTAAATACACAATGTAGTTATAGGTGTGTTATAAATGTGACAAAGAGATTCGCGTGAAATATTAACGAGGTGTTTTACGTCTCAGAAAATAAGTAAATTACCGTATTTTTCGTTGTATAAGACGCACTTTTTTACCCCAAAATTTGATGTCAAAATCTACTTACGTCCTATATACCGAAGGTATGAATAATATATGTATATATTCGATATACACAAGACATGTGTAAATATATTTAAACAGGCATGCATAGTTGAGTTCAATTGAATGTGTTATTTATAACAATAGTAGTTTTTTTTTACTTTTAAAAACATAACTATTTATAATGCTCCCTAAATAATAAAAAAATAAGTTACAGTGAAAGCAATGAAGATTTTGTAG